GTCATTCACACCTACAGTACAATGTAAAATAAAACACACTTTTCTCAGTCAGAAGTTGCCATAATAACACTTTAAAGAATGCTTTGTAGAAATGTCAACAAAGATGTTCAGAATATCAGTATGTGTTGTTTATATACATGTTGTAGAAATTATTGAAGTGCTCTAAATGTTTATAATGAAAAGGTTTTTACTACACTCCACTTTAAGTTCCAACTATAGTTCATTATTTACTGAAAAGTACTGAAGATGTTTGAGGCTGTTTTAATGAATAAATAATCATGATGACAATTGAGTGACATTGTAAATCTACATACTATGTTGGTGCTAACACGGAGAAATGCTTTTTCTGTGGAGCCAGCAGTGCTCCATCAGTTTGATATTTTCTTGACCATACAATTCACATTGTGTGGTACGTATGAGCCTAATCCATAGTGCAAGCTGCACATAAGTCTCAAAAACAAGCCCCGCCTATTTGCGTATATTATTATAAGCAATTCTGTAGATGGAACAAACTGAAGCAGACCAAGAATTTAATTGTACAGTCGATTTTGAATCCTTGTTTGGGATATAGTTTATATATAGTTTGCTACAGTAATGGTTGATGGACAAGAAAATTGTCCTAATAAAATCTTCTGTATAGGGCTGATGGTATATCATATTGCATGATATGGCATCTGCCTCCATTACAGCAGATAAACCCTGGATGCATCCCATTTCACACTGCCACCGAGGAGTTTCGGAGAATACTTATTATGTTGTCAGTGGTATCCTTTTAGAGAAGAGAGTGGCCGGGTTTAGTTGTTCCATCTATGTTCAAATCGGCTTTCTTTACTTACTGTCGTGGACAGGCCTGTTTGAGTGGATGCTTATTATGCTGTCAGTGTTTTCTTGAGAGTACGGCTCCACCGGGTTGAGTTGTTACATTTTTTCTTTAGATGTGCCCCCATTCTTAAAGCTATGGTGCCAGTGTTTACATAATTTGTAGCAGCATCCTTTCGAGCTTGGCGTTAATATAGTCCACAGTTATGCAGTATTTACAGCAGTTCTTTGCAACACTGACTATGAGCAGTGATTTAAGGACTTAGATACCACAACACTGCAATTCTTAATATTTCTTTGCCAGAGTGTATATCAGCAAGTATCTTTCTTTTTTATCTTTTCTTTTCAGTAATGAGTGGTCTACAGGTGCACACATGTCCAGCCCAAAAGATTACCATCAGGAGAAACGCACTGCAGTATCAAAAACGATGCAAATAAGAAAACACAAATGAGCCAAAACACATGCAATTGAAGTCTTCACAAACTTGCCAACACATCTCACTTAGAAAACATTCACCAACCTAACGAAACATGCGCTGCGTTAACTAAAAGCTCTGCTTAAATGAAGCGCTGCAAGAAACTCAAATCACAACGGAAACAGTGACACTAAAAAGTGATGAACACAACTGGGACCGGAGGGCTTGTTGATGTTCGGGGATTATAAAGTCGGCCAATTGTCACTGGAAACTAACCTAAGATGTACGTTTTAATGGCTTATTAAAACAATGTTATCACATGATTCCTTCTGATATTATTGCAGATCTGCTGTAAATTATCTAGTTAACATAGCTAAGTTAGTTATTTGAAATATACTGACAAAACACTTATAATAAGGCTAGCTGAGCCAACAGTGACAGTTATTTGAAAGGGCAGCGTGCTTCTCCTATAGGCAAGGCAAAGCAAGTTTATCTATATAGCACCTTTCAACACAAGGCAATTCAAAGAGCTTTACAAACAATGAAAGACATTAAGAGCATTAAGGAAAACAGAAACACATTATAAAATGGCATTTAAAAACAATCATTAAAAAGCAAAGATGATAAAATAAACATTGATATTTTTGGGATGGAAGTCGAATTAATTGAAGTACCACCGTACTAGTCTATATATCTTTTACAAGGACGATGGCTTCATAGGTTCTGCTTTGATCATAACAAGATATATGTTTATAATCTCCTTTCATGTCCCTGTAATAAACTCCAGAAATTGTGCCTGAATAATAATCAGATGATATAGTGTTTCAAAGTGATGAAAACCAGACATTCACAACTAATTTCTCTCTTCAATCCACCTAATTAAAATTGTTTCCCCATGGTGCACTGTTTTTGTTTTCACTGCATCTTTTTTGTTTGCAACGCCTGTCAGTAATGTCTTTGCTACGAGATATGTGTTACTGCCCCCATGCTGACAACTGTTTCTTAAAAGTTGGGGGAAGATGTGACTTGATAATTAAAGGCTTTCTTCAGGGACTGTGGTACTGTCTGTACATGTGTTCTAAAAATAACAGCTTAAAAACTACTCCAACTGTCTCCTTATAATAACATTAATTAAGACTTACTTGTGATTATGCTTACAATAGCTGAGGCACATTCAGTTAGTTGGCAGCCACGGAACCATGCATCATGGATATTCCACATTAAAACAAGGAGATGGATATTTGTGTTTACTTTCATTGCGCTTCACATATTGAGCAACAGCCAGATATTGTGTAATGGGACTGTTGGGAAAGCCTGACCACATCAAAGACCTGCTCCTGTTTGATGGAGGAAGTTCTCACTTAAAGTGGCAATAAACTTGTTTTTGCTGCAATTCATCATTATGAAACAAATGTTGATTGCATTGTGTAATTCCTGTGGAATGATGACATCGTCTGCGTATTGATGAATTATTTACAAGCCTCACTCACTATATTTGCAATTCTGTCAGCCAACAGTCATGATCTCCTTGGACATGAAGGCTCAATATCCGGCAAACCTTGGACAACAAAATGCAGTGTGCCCAGTGTTGGGAACTTATTTGAATATACTGTATGTAGCTAGCACTTTCTTACTGTTTCCCCTGATTGTCCGATTAAGTTGCTACATTTGTCATTAGTAGGCTCTAAAAGCTATAAGGCAAAACCATCAAATGTATGGTTGTCTTTGCAACATAGGCAACAACAACAACTCGGACATTTACTCTGTGAATAAAATAAATGCAGTGTACTGTATCTGAACTTAAAGTGGTAGAGCTCTGCAGTTATAAAAGAGGTAGCATTGAACAGAAGTGTGACAAAATATACGGAGCTATGTGCATTTACTCTAGGTATGAAGGAATTGAAAGACTTTAACATTTTTGCATTAACAATTTTCATGTAAATGACGGTGATGAAAGTCTTACACCTGAAGCCTAATTGTTTTGTGTTTTTGTACTCACAGGAAATGTGTTGAAGCTAACACCAAAAATAAAGGTGATCAAAATCACCAAATAATGCTTCAGTGAAAGAAGACAGATTAAGCTGTTTATTAGTAGCTAGTGGTAATAAATCCTGCATTTCAAAGTGCATTTTGGTCAACAAGAAAAACATAATTTTGGAAGATTCTTGTAGAAATTTTATTATGACATCTTTCAGCAATCTTAGATAAATCCGGTTTTAGAGGAAGGCTCTTTTCCAGGAATCATAGGCCTGTTGTTATTTCCTGGTCCGACAGTGACGCAAAACCACTGTAAGTGACACGTTGTGCTTCATTTAGAAAAAAACTTTTCTCATCTCATCCCTCCACCTAAGTCTTACATCAACGGTATTGCGGCAGTAATATTCCAAACAAAGTGCCGCGAGGGATAAACAAGAGAAAAACATTGTGGACGCGCAAAAACTCAGTCTTTCCAACAGTATGCATTTGACCTTTTATTTCCAAAGCAAACATTCAATAGTCCATATCCATATGCGTATGCGTATATTCTTTTATGCGTGCATGCATGCGTGCGGTCAACACAAATTGTCCTTCTCCAGCTCACTCCCCCTCCATCTATCACAAAGTGCGCAGGTAAAAGCAACCGGATATAACCGCAAACGTCACCACACAAATCCAATGACACGCCCACCACCTATAGTGACTCAAAAACATGTACCGTAACAAACACAGAAAAATACTTCATATGTGGCTTTTACAAACGGCTATAAACACAACAAGTTGATACATGTTCTCTGCTGGTGTGGAAAGTCAGTCTTAAAAAAGCTTGCCTGGAAATCACCAAGTGTAACAAAAGGAGGTATGACTGACTAGCCAGAGGGTTGCAACAGTTTTGGTTATTTAACATGAGAGATTTCTGTGTTCTTGTCTACGTTTTTCTCACTGAGTTGTTTGCTTGTATTGCATTCATGCAATGTAAGCAGAATGGGAAATTATTCTATTTTACTAACGCTGGATTTCATTTAGATGTTATATCAGCAATGGAGGCTTTGCATCCATGTTCCCAGCAATTTGTTGACAATACCATAGATATTTCATCAATAATTTCCATGATAAAGCTTTTAAAAGACTCCATTATATCTGATTTGAGGCTGGTGTGAATATTTAGCTGTTTGTAATTGAGATCCTATTAATATTTGTATACTTCTGAAGATTTAATAAATAATAGGTAAGTATGTGTTTTTATGAACTTTAACTGTGATATGCTTATTTATGCTTATTAAATGTCTTGGAGAAATACTCAAGATTGAACCAAGGTGTCAGAAGACAGAAGAATAGTAGGCTACATACTTCTTAATCCCACATTGGAAATGTCTGGTTTCACTTTATTAGTATACAGTACAAATACACACATGTAAACCGGAACTTTACACATTAGACTTGAAATACACACTTGCACAACTCTGCTGCTATCTTTCAACGCCCTGACGCAATAAGGGTGCCTTGCTCATAGACATCTTGACAGTCCCCAAGAAGTGAACTGGGAATCAAACCATGAACCATCCGTTGACCATCAGGATGAGCAAAATGAAATGAAACGCCACAATTATAAACCATTTCTAAGGCACAATGTGACCTAATGCTTTCTAGGAAAAAGACAGTCAGTAGCCTTTATTCATGGAGCCTCAACTCACAGACATGCTTCCAGCTGTCAGTCATCCTGTCCTGCAGGCTCCGCCCCCTACGGAACTACAGGAGGCTGTAGGACACGTGATTAAATCAGTATGGCGGAGCTGCTGGCTCAATGATTTCTACAGTACCGACCGCCCGACGGGTCCTAAAACCCTGCCCTGTGGATGCTCTTGGATACCGGGAGAAAACCAGCCATTTGCGCCAAAGGGTGCTCAATTCAGGTATTGTTTATTTTCTGTCTTTGCAAAACAACTAGCCTTTACAGTCGTGTCTTTAGCTTTAAGTCAAGAGAGAACCAGAAAGTGTGTTTATATTTTGAACGTCTCGCGCTTTCCCTCTTCGTAGTCTGACTGAGTTCTGTTATCCGGCTACACTTTACTTTTTTCTGTTTTTATCGTGATTTATAGTTAGCAGGATGAAAGTGAAAGTGTTGCACAATACCGCCATTGTCGTTTAGTATTAGTAATTTGCAGTGAACTTAAAATACGGTCGCCTTTCCGAGTTGTGCAACAGTGTTACTCCGCCACTTTAGTGGCTACATTAAAGTAGGACTTTTAATTGCACAGTTAAGCTAGCTTTATTGTTTAAAACTCGTCTGAAACAGGCTGTCATGTCGGAAAAGTGTTATTTTAATTATCAGCGGGACACTTATACTTTTTCAAACTCTTCACTTTCCAGTTGAGAGTTTTGCACAGCGGCATACCGTGTCATATTGTTTTCCTTCCAAGTGTGAGGTTAGTGTAAAGAGTTACCAGATGTAGTGGGGAGTTGTGTCACTTATTAGCCTACAGACGTGTGTTTACCAGCAAGGTACGTCACACGTTAACAGGAACTGTTAGCCTGGTAGTGCAATAAACGTTGTCTCATAGCAATATCACGTTAGCTCATCTTAAGAACATCCTCTAGTTACACACATTTCTTCAAATTTGCGAACACAACCAGTACTTTTTTTGAGTGTGTAATTGGGAGAAGGCAGTGTGTGTAGCCTATGATGGAGGTTTGTGCTGAGGTTGAACCGCCGCTGCCACAGCGTTGGGTGTAAACTGGTGTCTGCATGAAGTGTAAACACAGAGAGAGGCAGCAGCAGGACGAGGCTGGAGGTAGTTTCCAGTTCACAGCTTCAAATTCAGCAAGTTGAAGGAAACTTAATGTTAAATGCTTTAAACTTTCTGTGTTTTTTGCCTTTTTTTGTCCTATGCGTCATAGCTAAAGTCTCAACATACTTTCAGAGTTTTGAGACCTTTATTTTATGCATGAAAGCCCAACTAATACAGCCATGTACTGCTGTTCTTCATCCAGACAACCATATATAGGTCTATATTAATAATCTTGATTTACATTTGTCAAAACTGGACTTCATAAAGAAGCTTTTGATTTAGTTTGGAGTTGTGGACCTTTGTTATATTTTATTAGTTTTAAATAGCTTATGTGAAGCTATTATTGACCGAGGCCTGGTCTGATGTGGTCCAGATGAAAAGTAGTACATTTTCTGACTCATACATTTGTTTCAAAAGATCTTACGCGTCTCTGGGTTTATCGAGTCAAGTTTAAACAAGTCCACCTCTCTGATATTTGAATTTAGGGTTATATAAAATGATGTATTTCATTGATCCCAAATATGGAATTTATTGAACATGGTCTTGGGGGGGAAAGCCCTCCCCCTTTTTGTATTTCACCAAGATTTAACACATCTGTAGTTTTGTGTCACTGGAGTCTACTTCTTTTTTTTTTAGCCAGACCGTTATCTTGATGAAAAAATCACAGCAAATAAAGCATTTGTTAATATAATTAATTAGGTTTCACTATTCAGGCATTGAGTCTTAAATAATGTAGAGGCTTTAATTTGGATGTCTAATACCCTTTTACAACAGCAAGTGATGCAAAAACCTGCAAATTAAATCTTTTTCTCTCAGATTTCCTCCGAAGCGCTGCAAATTGGAAGCTAACTTTTGACTTTGTAGCAGGCCTGTGCCTCTGCCCTGCTAAGACTCCTTTAAGCCTTCACTAGTGGAAACTATTCCCTCAGCATTACAAGCTCTGGAGGACTGCTGTTTCACGCTGGTAAACTCCAGGCCCCACAGGAACAAGGTCACTGCAGCCTTTAAAAAAAAAAAAAGAATTGGCTCAGGGTGCTCCTCTTAAAAGGATGACTCTGCTGAGAGAGGAACCCTGATTGGAGCAGGAGTATAACAGGATTTTCTTTGTCCACATTGTGATATTTTATTTTTAGCTGAGCATCTCTTTTGTGATTACCACCTATATTTTTGTCATTTAACTGCTGGTGATATGACACGCTTTAGTGTTTGAGAAAGGAGGGATTTAGTGTGATAATTAGTGTGCAAGGGTTCCCTAGACAAAAACAATACCATTGGATTTTGAAATATAGTGGGACAAAACATCTGTACCAAACTAAACCTTTGGATACTTACAAGTTTTGTTCAGCAGGATATTCTCTACATACTTACACCACTTTTATAAAAAAAATTCAAGCACACATAGGTCCGATTGCCAGAGGTGTAGAAGTAATGTTAGGCTATAAACAAATGTCATCACGGTCACACCACCGCTACGTTAAAGGAGGACTAGTTTAGGACGTTTAATAGTTTCCTTTAGTTACGTGTTAGCAAACGCCATATTTATGACACATAGAAGCCTAAGACATTCACGACTGATGTATTTACCGGCGTATTTTATTTAGTAAAACAAAAGAATAAAACGAGAAAAGCTTCATTTTCAAGCTTAAAACGTTAAAATACGGTTGAAATTAATTTAATTTCCCGATTTTTGGACTCCACCACTCTATTTGATTATCTCTGGTTACTTCTGTCTTATTGTAGCTTTAAAAATGAATTAGGCATGATTGCCCCTTCTCTGCCTGTGGTTAAATAGATTGTAATGCAATTTAACCACAAGAAATGTTGCGTCTTGTTACCGGTGTGACTAAAACCTTTTCTTAGGAGTGTCCTACACAAAGACCAAGAGTTCAAAGTACTCTGTGTGATGTTTATTCTAGTAGTTGTCTTGCTATTACAATGTTGTCATTATTTGTGTTCTCTTTTCTGAATAGTGATCACACCTTTTATAGAATGTGTAACTAGTGAGTTTTGTGCTCCCATATATCCCATATCAGTAGCTATTGATGGTGAAGGGAAGAATACATTCGGTAGCAGTTAAATATTAGTGTAACAACATTTAGTCTACAAACAATCGCTTCCAGTTTAAGTGTGGGGACTAACAGTAACACGTGACATTTAAATAATATTGAATTATCACATTTGTAATAGTTTGAAAAACACAGATGTCACACGTTGAAAACCTCAATGGATTCATGAATCCAAGGTACATTGATTGATTGCGTTGTGTTAATGTTGTGTTAATGTATTTCAGTGTTTTTTTGCCGTTATGACTTCAGCAGAATCAGCACTGTATATATAAGAAACAGTCAAGTTTGAATTTTGCTTGTGTTAGCACATTTATCGAACTAGTGGTCTTTTGGGATTAAGAATTTGAGTATACAGATGCTTGCAATTTAAAACTGGTGTCACAGCTATAGAAAGATTTGGGGGCTTGAACATAAAGTATTGTAGAGTTAAATCTAATCGCACAATATTTTGTAATATTCTCTACCTAAACAAGAATAATACAGGGATATTTAAGAGCAGTTTTTAATTCTACTTGGCAAGAAAAGTAATTTCCCTTCTCTGCTTTACAGCGTGACAGTACATACTTTACACCACGCATAATGTCTCTCCCATTATAATTTTATTCTGTCACATCTTGTTTTACTTTTACTTCTTCATCCACCACAGTCTGAGATAATTTACACTCAGACCAGCTTTGTAATTAAAGTTGTTTCAGATCAACATTTAAAAAATATATTTCATAACAGATCCAGACCCATTTAGACGTTGACTTTGGGCTGTTACTCAAAGTAATAAGACTGAATAGCACGGCATAAATGGCAAGTCCTACCACGGTTAATGTGTCAGATTTAACATGCAGTAAGAAGATTTTATATTGTAATTAGTTGCCCATGGAATGCCTTTTGAAGAGCATATGGCCAGACATTTAAAGTGATACTCCAAAATGTACCTTTTGTTCTGGCATTTTCCTTTATTTGACAGTAAAGACAGATCAGGAAATGTGTTTGAAACAAAGGTCCCAGCTAGAATCCAACTGCTGATGTTGCGGTTTCACCACAACAATGGAATCAATTACAGTAGACTAAATTCAGACTGAGCTTCGTCGCTGTTTTCCATCATTGAGGAAACATTTGTTCAACTGCCTTTGCGTGTTTGGCATACAAAATATATTGTAACAAAAGGAAAGAATTAAAAGTGGTTTTCTTTCATCATGTACAGAGGAAAAGAGAGCGCTTCCGCTCATTTCTCCCGTGTTATTATCCAAAGTTAATGTAAACTTGAATAATGTACTTCATTTGAATGTAATAATTATGTTGGTTGTTGTTTGTGGAAGCCCCATTAACTGAGTTTTAAACATCACTTTAAATAGAAGATCCCCATAGGCCCCGCCCACTTGATCGGATTGGCGATCGGTATCGGCCGATACTGATTCCGGCGATCGGCCCCAAAATTGGCGATCGGAGCATCCCTAATTTCCGGTCTACTTCTTTGCATATGATATTTCTGATTAAGATACACTGTCTTTTGTAAAAGCATGATTATTAACAGGTAGCTTGATGTTATTACTATTTCTTACATTTTGAGAAATAATCAAACTGAGGGTAGGGTGTTAGCGATTAACATCCATTTTTAAACGATATATCGATTAAATTATTAATGATCAAATATCATCTATGCAAAATGAACAACTTGATACAATATGTTATCTTGAAAGGTCCCATATTATACTCTTTTTCAACAATATATTATTGGTTTGAAATACCCAACAGATCATGCATTGTAGCATCCCATCAACCCCTCTGTTTCAGCCCTGTTTCAAAAGTGCTGATTCTCTGTCTGTAGCTTTAAATGCAAATGAACTGCCACTCCCCTCACTCTACTGCAAGCTGTTTGGTTTGAAAAAACATAATGGTGCTCTAGGAGGAGATTCAGGTGATAAGGTGGGCGGGTGTTACCTTGGTTGGTTATTGGCTAATGGTTGCCCTACCCAAAAAAACATTGTGACATCACAAAGTGGCCAAAATCGGATCAACTAATTTTCAGACAGGTTTTAACCTGTTACGCACCGCCCCCCCGGT